TAATATGAGAAAGAATCTGTAATAAACATGGATAGCACAATTTATTAGCATTGTATGGCAAGGAATAACAATTCTTTTTCCAAATAATATCATGGGTATCCATTTATGTTTCAAGGCATATATGAAGTTCAGTCCACAGAGAAATACTAAGTAAAGCATGCGCAAGCAACACCGAGGGACGTACAGCCCGATCCAACATAAAAGTAAATTGTGCACTGCCAAGGGTCAAACGGCTCGAACCATAGATGCCTCTATTACCCCGCTCGCGAATCACACGTGCAACATGGTCAAATTTAAATAACTCATCAACAAGAAGGGAAGAATATATATCTGAGGAGTAGTTGTTCACATGAATATTCAAATCCTTTTTTAAAAGACCAAGCAAGATAAGGTTCCTCTACTAGTCTTATTTACATTAATCAACATGATTTATATGAATCCAAATTTATCATCAAGTTACAAGAATACCACGCAGAGCAAGCTTTACGGTCCGAGACTACCCAGACTTAACATAATAGTAGATATGCACAGACTCTCGTCAACTAGTTTGTACATAGCCCCCGCATATAATAGCAATTAATTCAATTATTACACCTATGGGGACAATTCCCTCTTACAAGGTTAGAAAGGAGACTCACCTCGCTCCAAAGTGCACTTCCAATACCAAGAACGAGTCCAAGCCCTCAATTCGGAGTCGAACGATCCCAAACTAGTTAAATGAGGTAGGAACTAGTCAATATAGACTTACAAGATTGAATTCTAGCTATTTAAGCAATTTCCCAACCTTCAACACAAGTTTTCTAAAATCCGACCCGAGCCCACATGCCCGAATTCCGAAATTTTTCGAAGGAAGTTGTTCTCTATAACATAAGGATCAATAATATATGATTTTTAATTCATTCCATAGCAAATTTCGTGGTAAAATCTAAGTTTTATTTAAACCCTAGGTCTAGCTATAATCCCATGATTTTACCTTAACCCTAGTGTTTAATCTACCTAAAACACAAGTGTTAAACTAAGAATAAGTGGGGTAAGCTTACATCAAGATGCCAAGTAGAAGCCCTCTTTTAAAAGCTCCCAAAATCGCCAATGGAGGAGTAAAAAGTGTCAAAAATGACTTAGAACCCGTATTAAATGAATCTAACTGCTTCAGCGATTCCCGCATCTGCGAGAAGGGACCACATCTACGAAAAGGGGCTAAAAGGGCTGGGACCGCTTCTGCGGTTTGTTCTAGCCTTCCCTAGGCCGCATCTGCAACAGATGGACTGCATCTGTGGTCTCGCACCTGCGGTCCACCAACCGCAGGTGCGTTTATGACAGAAGCAGCAACTTCAGCACTTCTCAAAAATTTCAACTTCACTTGAGCCTCAACCGATTGACGCTCGGTCTCCCGGGCCCCGCCAGAACATACCATTAAGTTTGAAATCAAGAAATAGACCTACTCGAACCTTCGGAACATCCGAAACAACGCTAAATCTAAGAATCACCCCCTAAAACCAATTGAATCAAACTTAGTTTACTTCAGGTTCTTAATTTTCCTCTAATGGGCCAAAACCCCCTTAAACTACTCAGATTGACACCAAATTTTACGGGCGAGCCTTAAATGATATATCGGACCTATACCAGGATTTAGAACCAACATACGAGCCCAATACCCATAGAATCAATCATTAATTAGTTTCTTAAAATATTTAAAACTTCAGATTAACAATTTCTAATAAAAATTCATTACTTGGGCTAGGGACCTCGGAATTCGATTTCGAGCATACGCTCAGGTCCCATATTTTTCTAGGGACCCTCCGGGACCGTCAAATCATGAATCCGGACCCGTTTGCTCAAAATATTGACCAAAGTCAAATTTAGCCTTTTAAGAAAATCCTAAGGAATCAAATGGGCATATTTCACTCCAAACTCTTCCAAATCCCAAACCCACCATCCCCGCAAGTCGTAAATTAGTCAAAGCAAGCACGTGAAGTTTTATTCAAGGGAATAGGGTTCTAAAAGGAAAAATTACAAGTCGGATCATTACATCACGATCCTTCATCGCGAACGCGGTCAACGCCTCGCGTTCACGAAGAACAAACTTATGTTGACCACCTTTTCCTTCATTACGAATGCGACCCATGCAAGAGAACGCGAATCTTAGCTTCTCAACTCATCGCGAATGGGGCAACACCCTCACGAATGGGATGACCACTAACCTCAGCCCTTCGTGAACCGAAGCCAACTCTACTGCCTCACATCCTAACCCTTCACGAACACGGGACATCTATCGCGAACGTGAAAGCCAAAAGCCTGCCACACTAACAACAGTTTTTTTGCAACTTTTTCCAACATAAAATGATCCGTTCAGCCACCCGAAACTCACCCGAGGCCCTCGGGACCTCAACAAATATGCCAATATATCCCATAACATCATTACAACTTGCTCCAAACTTTGGAACACTAAAAACAACATCAAAATACCAATTTGATATCGGATTCAAGCCTCAGTATTCCAAAAACTTCCAAATTCCGCTTTCGATCAAAAAGTCTATCAAACCTCGTCCGAATGACCTAAAATTTTGCACACGTGTCAAAAATGACGCAAAGTACCTACTCCAACTTCCGAAATTCCATTCCGACCCCTATATCAAAATCTTACCTATCAACTGGAAAACGCAAAAATTCCAATTTCGCCAATTCAAGCCTAAATCTACTCCGGACCTCCAAAACACATTACGATCACTCTCCTACGTCCCAAATCACCTATCGAAGCTATCCGAACCATCAGAATTCACATTCGAGCCCTTTTTTACATAAATCAATATCCGGTTGACATTTCCAACTTAAGCTTACTTAAAAGATACTAAGTGTCTCAAACCTTACCAAAACCTCTCTGAACCCGAACCAACCAACCCGGGAGCACATAATACAGCCGAACAATACAATAAGAATTAGAAATGGAAAAATAGAGTGGTAGCTCATTAAACGATCAGCCGGGTCATTATATCTAATTAAATTTAGGTCAATGATATAGCTGCCTCATATATGACTTATTGATTGCTCTTCTGGGTGAATCATATGCATAACACATTTGAGATGGCAACATACATTTGGTCACTAGTAAGAACTTGGGAACTTAGTTTTCTGATTGAGGTAGAGTTGCTTATAATAAATTAAAACAATTTTGTCTTATTGTCAATGGGAAAAAGTAGAGTTTCTTATGAGGAAACATTGTTCCTAGTTGGGATACTGCAAACAATTATTAAGAATGTTTTCCCTTTCTTAGCCAATAAATGTAAGTTCCGGGTACTGATTATTATTCACAGACCCTCCATTGACTGCATATCATTGTGTGATCAGGCCGGGTATGAATTCGATTCTAAGTCGGAGAATGCCCATGAATAGGGTCTTATTACAGAATCCGCAGTTTTAAAAGTAGCCCTAAACTAAGTTGTTTACCTTGTAGACGGAGGAGATATAGAAAGTGTGTCGTGCTTGATTCATAAGATTCTATAATCAATAGCACCAGTATATTATTTTACTTACCTTCCTCTCCCATGACTTTCCGGACCAACCAACCCGGAGTGCATAGCTTCTTTGAATGTCCCGCTGATTGACTACTACATCTAGGGACGGGACTGATCCCGAAAGAGAGATCTTTCTTTATGGTTATGAAATCGCTTTGATTGAAAAGCAAGTTGATGATGCCATAAGTCAAATGGGCGGGTGAGGCGAGAGTCCTTCACTGCACTCACTGGAGAGAGGGGAACATATCCTATATAGTAGTAAGGTCTTATCCCATTATTAGTAGCCGAAGTGTGGGCCGGCTAATTCAGGAAAATATATAGAGTGCGGGCGTCGAAACCCCATGCTTTGAGAGTTCCTTTATGCCAGCACTTTCTTTACCCGGGAGTCACCTCATCAGTACCTGGGGATACTATCCCAGGATGCCAAAGGTATGATCCACACATTGAAAGTGTCAACGTTGACTCACACGCGCCACCCTCACCTTGAACCCTAGCTTCTCCTTCGATCAAAAAGCCGTCAATCTCATGTGCGATGTGTTTAGAGTTTACCTTTGGATCAGACCCTTTCTTCTGCCCTCGCCACTTCTTTCGCTGACCCTATCTACCTCCTTTGTGGAATACCAGAAAAAAAGATGAATTAGCAGCTGGCCTTTACTTGGGCCCATCCCAAGATCCCTACTAAAAGAGAAACATCACTTGATTATTTTCGTTTGTTTGATCAAGCGGATTGATAGCGGATCGAAGGGAGTGCGATAGGGCATCATCTATCCGGGTCGGTGCCGGACACCTTTGTGAATCAGTCCCTTTCCTTGTCTTCAAGAGTTCGGTTAGTTGATCGAGAAAGCGGCAGGACCGTAAAGCTTAGCCTTGAGCTGGACTGCGGTCCCGGATGCGAGAATAAGAAGAATAGAAGTACAAGAGGAAAAGAAGGAGAAGAGGCAATTACAATTTCACTTCAGTTTCACTTTCTTGCTAACCTCTTTCCCGGTCAGAGATAGGAAAGAATCCAAAGCTTGCAAGGATGTTAGGCTTCGAACGCTGTTAGGACAGATAAATTGGAAACTAGGACGAAATAGCCTACCTTGAATATAGAATCAATTACCAGACGGACTGGCTGGCCCACTTGTACGTAATAGAATAGAAATCAAGGCAAATTCCAAGCGAGTAACATCTTCTGCCTTGTGTTTATCTTGTTTTACACTCTTGATAGTTTTGCTTTTTGGAAGCCACTACATAACTTCTACAAGTCTAAAGAACATTTATTTAAATTTTCAACTCTTAAAGCAAACTACATAACAGATGTTTTGTAAATTTATTTAAGTATTGGGTCAGACAATATGACAGAGAGCAAAGCAAGGGCTTACATATGTGGTTTGTGTCTGTTTTATATTTTCACCCAATACTTAGAAAAGACAAAAGCGGTAATTTTCTTTTGCAGTGATACAAAATTCTCTCCATAGGAGCTAATCCTGATTTCCTTTTCTAGTGCAGTGAGAAATTAAGGGATCATCGTGTTTCACAGAAAATCAAACCTTTCTCGTGATTCGCTTGTCATCTGGGTACCTATCTTTGTCTCACTTACTTGTTAACTTGTTGCTGGATACACTCATTATGGCATGGACCTTGTTAACCTTTCGCTGCAGGGTTATTTCTCAATTCTGGTGTAGCTTTGTCACATTTCCACTCTATGTTATTGTTGCTCAGGTAACTAAAAAACACTATGTAATCTCTTTCTTTTGTCCTTGGTTATATATCCTTCTGCACTATTCCTTGAGTCACCGATGATCGAGCAGATGGGTTCCAGATACCAGAAGACAATTGTTTCAGAGAATGTTAGGAAGTCTCTACATGGATGGCGACACAAGATGAAAACCAGACTCGAAGGTTCAGTTATTAATCCAGAAAGATTATTAACGACCACATCATTGGACTCTATGGAGGATGAGACAGATCAAATTCATAGCACTACTACCAACATCACAGCGGGATGCTCCCCATTATTCAAAAATACCAGGGTCTCAGACAAACAAGTCGCTTTTGAGCAAGATTGCATGAATAAAATCTCACAATGTGATGATGAGTTAAATGTTCCATTTTCTCCTCGAAATTGAGGAGAGGTTTGGTGAAAAATATGATGATGGATCAAACANTAAAATAATTTTTTTACTTCAATGAGTAATTTTTTAGAAGAATTAATTAGTATTTGCAACAAAGTATATTAATTTATAATAATTACGCGATAAATAATGTGAAACTAAAACTAAAAACTACTAATATATAGGAAAATAACATTTCTCTTAATTTTCTCTTCTCAATCAATCCAGACTATTATAAAAGCACGAAACTTTAACGCAAAATTGGTTGACCTTTTTATCATATAAAATAAATTTTACATTGGATAAAATTATGTCGGGTTTTGGGCTATTGTATACACCTTGAGTTGTAGAGAATTTCCTTTTATATATGTTGTTGAGTTTTAATATTTTTAAATTACTGTTTCATTTACTTCCGCATGTTTGTTAAGCTTACCTAATCTTAGAGACTAGGTGCGGTCAGAGAGAAATTGGGATCGTCACAATGCAACATATAATGTTTTATTATTATGAGATGGAGAAATTTAGTGGATAAAAATTTAGTGTATGAAAATAAATCTTCCTTGGTATTGTAAGGTTTATGAAAGACGACAAAAACCATATTTTATTCTAAATTTTCTCTTTGGTTATCACTATTAAGTTAAGTTTACTTATGATAACATGTAATTTTTATAATAAGCATTCTAAATACAATAACATCGAAAATAGAGTAATAACAAATTGTAATTAACTGGTTAACCTATATATACCAACAGTACAATAAATTATTATATTGTTAGTAAGAACAAGCTTGACAACTACATACACTCATTTGAGCTTCACATTGACCTTTAACAGAAGCTGCACGGTCATGATATTTGTTACACTGAACCTGACAATCATCGTCACTTGTACAGGATCCCCAATCTTCGTGAACAAAAAGCCAACATTGCCCAGCTGTCAACTCTGCATGAGTTCAAATATTTAAATTAAGAGTTGATGATTCATTAACATAAATGATTAAAATCAAACAAAATGAAGATTCTTTTGTTTACTTCATATTTTTCAATTTATTCACAAATGTATTTCGCTTGATGAATTCAAGAAGTTACAAGAAAACCACTAACACCTCTAAATACTTTTTTTTAAATAGTTTTAAACAATCCATTGGATACTGAATTTTAATGAATAATCATAATCATTAAAAATGTTTGACATTATAAGTTTAATTAAAGAACATGATGACAAGTATTGTCATTAATTTGGTAGAAATTAAAAATATTTACAGGCATAATTAATTTTTTTCATTGATTAGAAAAATAAATGAGTTTTGATATTATAAATTTAGTACTAACTTTTGCTAATTCAATTAAAAGAAAATACCCACCTAGTGATGCAAAGGCGAAGACCATGAAAGTCATAAGGACAAAGAATTGTGATGTTGTCATTTTTGCTTCACTCAAATGCATTAAAGTCACTATGTGAATAAGGGGGATTAAAGAAGTAGTATGTTTCTCAATATTTTTATAGCAACTGTTTCATGTGTTTTTCCCATGAACCCGTTACTTGCAAAATTAAATTCTAAGCATTAATTTTTTCTAATTAATCTTCAGTTTTTATTTTATTTAATGTCACTCGAACAATAAAGAACTATGATGATAATAAAGGAATTTTCACAAAACACTATGGTTTAGAGTTTAATTACCATACGTAACTATAGTTTGCCTAATTTATATTTAGCGCAACAAATATAACATGTATTTCACAATGCGTACAACCAAGGCGAAATATAGAAATACAAAAAAAAAATTAAGAAACAAAATGCTCACGATGAGAGTCAATCTCAACACCTCCCTCTTACTAAATGGGTGTTCTAACCAACTGAGTTACGAGAGCTTATGTTGTTAGCGTTCAGTTCAAAATAATTGATCTCTTGTTTCAGTACTACAAGTAAATTGTTATAACATTCAAATATTTCTATGCATAGCAATTTTTTTAAAAGTATATCTATTAATGATAAATACAATATATAAGTTAGCTAAACCATATAATTTTTCCATATAAAGCATGTGAAAGCAATACTATTTTTCCTCCGAGAATTCCGGTGTTGTGCCTTTGCAATATTTCCTTTCGTTCAAAAGAGTTATTTTATTCCATTTGGAAAGAAAACAAGGTTAAAAATATTTAACAACTTTTTTAAATGCCATGAAGTATTGTGTTGTCTGATAGTTTTGCAAGCAAAAAGTTTACCTTTTATCAAAAATTTGAATATATNCAAAATAATAACATTTACAAAGCGGAATTCAACACAAGCGAAAAAAAGAAACAATAAGTTATCTGAACAGGAATATCTAATACAACTGTTTGAGTCTCGACTACCCAGAACTGGTGTCACAGTTTCACAGACGGTCTAAGAATACTACAATTAAAGGTCTGAAATAAATAAATACAACACCGTCTCTGGAAATGCATGTAAGAAACAAGAATAGTAGATAGAAGGAGACGCCAAGGCCTGTGGACGTCTGCAGGACTATCTCGGGTCGCCTGATGAGCAAGAATAAACAATCCCACTGCGGTCCGAAGTCTACAATACTGGGGTCTGCACAAAAGAGGGCAGAGTGTAGTATCAGCACAACCGACCCCATGTGCTGGTAAGTGCCTAGCCTAACCTCGGCGAAGTAATGACGAGGTTAGGACCAGACTACCAAATAAACCTGTGCAATTTAACTATTTACAGCAGAAAAGAAGTACAGAAAGCAACGGTCATATACAATCAAGTATGGGAGGGGGAAAACATGCTGTGGGGAAACATCGAGTAGTAACGAAAGAGCAACAAATAAATATGAGGATCACAACAGTTCGTTTGAAAATAGGAAGGGGAAATCATGTTGCGGGGTACAACAAGTATCAACAGGAAGCCAGGAATTTAGTGTAGAGAAGTCGTAACTCAGCTATCAATAACAATTAGGAAATCAAAGACAAGTGCACGGCATCACCCATCGTACTTTTACTCTCTCTCACCAAAACAATACACGGCATCACCCTTCATACTTTAACACTCTCTCACCAAACAATACACAGCATCACCCTTCGTGCTTTACGCTCTTCCTCACCCAAACAACAATCACAAGGCAAATAGGGTAAGGAAATATATAACATCGAAATAAAATCAAATAACAACAGAAAATCAGTAAATAAACGTAAAGGACATCATAACTCAATTATCAGCAAGAATCAGGAAAATCAAAGACAAGTGCACGGCATCACCTTTCATGCTTTTACTCTTGTCCTCACCATAAGAATCAATATAAATTGCACGGAATGGTACATCGTGCGGCACAACATCACCCTTCATGCTTTACACTCTTTCCTCAGAAAACAAACAATGCACGACATCACCCTTCGTGCTTTAACTCTCTTCCTCACCCAAACAACAATCACAAACAATAGGGCAAGGAAATAAAGGAAATTTGCAATAAGAATCCCGGCAAGGGAGCAACAAGTTAACAATTAAATCCTGGCAAGGGAACAACATCAATAACATCCACATCCCGGCAAGGGAGATAACAAATAAATCAACGATAGCCCGGCAAGGGTGACAACATAATGATATTTCCTCTTTCTCACTTTTACTTCACAATTTACTTCACAACTCGAGCCAATGCTCTAAAAGTTCAACTATCACTTATACTTTCACAATTCATTATGCAACTTGAGCCAACGCTCCTCAATGTTCATAGGTCACAATTCTTTCCACAAACCTTATACAACAATTATAAATCTTCACCAAGGCATGAATAATGCAACGAAATCATGAAAATCACAATATAAGACTCACGATCATGCTTGACACCAACGTATAAATACTCGTCACCATGCTTATACGTCGTACTCAACAATTACCACATAGCAAATAGGACTCAACTCCTAATCCCTCAAGCTAAGGTTAGACCAAACACTTACCTCAATGCCACGAACATAACACAAAGTTCAATTATAGCTTTACCCCTTGATTCCACCGCCAATTCGCTTGTATCTAGTGACAAATTACCTAATTACATCAATAAACGCTACATGAATCAACCCCGATGCATAAAAATGCGTTTTTCAAAGTTTTACCTAAAAAGTCAAAATATTCCCCCTGGCCCACATGGTCAAAACCCTAGGTTCGAACCAAAACCCGATTACCCATTCACTCATGAGCCCGAATATATAATTGTTTTTTAAATCCGACCCCAAAACGAGGTCTAAATCATGAATAATCAAAAGGCCCTAACTCTACCCAAATCCCTAATTTTCTACCCTTATTCACATGCTTTAGGCCTAGAAATCTAGTGGGTGTTGATGGAAAATGAGTCTAAGATTACATACCTATGAATTTGTGGTGAAATCCTCTTTCAAAAATCGCCCAATTTGGAGTTAAGTGAAAAAGTTATGAAACTTTGAATAAATCCCGAAATGGCTACTGTTTTAAGTGCTGGGCGACAATGTTCAGCGCGTTCACGAGAACGTTGCCGCGATCCCGAAGGGCTACTAGTAATGGACTTACGCGATTGCGAGTTCTTTCACGCGTTCGCGAAGGGTTGACCCCTCTGACCTTCACGTTCGCGGAAAAGCTTATGCGTTCGCTTAGAAGAACGACCAAAATCCCAGCCCCCTCCAATTAACGATACGCGTTCACGTCACACAGGTCACTTTCGGGATGAGCAAATCCCCCAAAGCTTCGTGTTCGCGACTGCGGCTCCGCGTTCGCGATAGACAAATCACTCCT